AAAAAAAAAAAAAGGTATTAATAGAATCAAGGAAGGAAAAAAAGCTGCCTTGGCGAACCACAGCTCAGCATTTCACAATGTACTTCATACTCTTCTCTGGTATGTTACAAATTTAAGATGTTTTTTCAATAATATAATTTCACTTTTCACTATCTGTTCTCTGACTTTATGACCTTCAACAGATAATCAATGAATTCTGTACAGTTTTAAGAGAACTATTTGTGTACATGTATGGAGCTTGAAGCCTTCCTACTCGAAATATAAAAATTTAGTCTCTATAGAAAACTTTACCAAGTTAACATTATTTAAAAAATACATTTTATTTGCACATAAAATTATTTATAATAATCTAAAAGCTGAAAATCATGACAAAATGGCCCTAAAAGCTGAGTATTTAGTAGAGAAAAAATCTCCCTTTCCTAGACTTTTGAAGCATAGCATAAAATGGATATTAATATACCATTTTCAAGGTATACCACAATAAAATCACAGACAACTTACTCCAAGATTATGCAACACTGTGTCAGTTTTTCACTAGATTCTATATTTAGCTTCTCTATGTAAAACTACCCTCCTGCCTCACTTAGAACATTTAACTCACTTCTCTTCTTATGCTTTTCTTCATCATCACTTTGAACATTCTGTCTTAGAAACCCAGTGGGGGTCATTATGAATTGGAATCAACTCCTTGGCAGCAGATTTGGGTTTTTTGGAAACCACTAGAGCATTACCTGGGAGTTTTAACACAATGTATGCTGCAGATACTCCAGCATGACACACAAAAGGGCGTCCATAATCTTCCATTTTCACTTCGAGGAAGGTTATGTTTACTGTGTACTTGTTATATTGCTCAAAAGACACCTCTGATCTATAAAAGAAAAGAGCCCATCATTAATATATGAATCATATTTACCCAACATACTTTATAATGCTTATTTTATAGAATAAAGTTACTTCCTGAAGAATACTTTGGACCATCAATTTCCCGTAAGAATAGTTCACTGAAGTGGCTAATTGAAAGTATATTGACTGCCTAGTTCCAAATATATATTTCTAGACAATGACAAGAAAGTGTAATTCTTTTAAGTACAGACAACATCTTCAGCCCTACAGAGACTTCCCCTATTCCTCTCCACCTATCCTAACTTATCTACTCTTTAAGACCCAATACTAGTTCTCCTGTCCTCTTATTTCATTAGTCTTCTTGTTTGCACCAATTAATCAATCACTAAACCACCTAGTCTACTCCAACTCATGGCAACTTCATGTGTATCAGAGCAGAACTCTCTTCCAAGATGTCTCTGGATGGACTCAAACTTCCAACCTTTCAATTAGCAGTCAAGTGCTTAACCTTTTGAACACCATGGGACTCCATATCATTCAATTATAAACAAAAAACAAAAAACCCTCTTCCATTGTGGTAGTTAAGTTTCTGGGTCAACTTGGCTGGGCTTGGTTGAGTGGCTGGGCAGCTAGATGTAGTTATTCCCCATGATAAGACTGGCAATCAACTCCATGGTAGGATCTACCACAAGCAGCTAAGTAGCTGCTTTAGGGATGTGGTCCGCTTTTTGTATATAAGAAGTGGCTTTGAAAATGGTTTCTAACTTATGGCATGCTTGAACCCTGCATGTAGCCAAGTCATTGTTCAGTAGGCTGTCATACTCTGCTGATATTGGGACTTTCAATGGACTTGAATCAATGACCTGCCATGTGGTTTGGTAATATCGGGACTGTGCCAATTCATTTGTCGACCTTGGGTTTGTCAGCCTCAGCAGCCAGCAGCTGCCTGAGTGAAGAGATCCCTCTAGCTTCAGTGGACTGGGAGCAGGAGGCAGAGCTGAAGCTCAAGGTCGAGGGGCTTTCACCCAGCCTCTAGAGCCTGGCACTTTGAACTCAGACTTCTAGCCTCCAAAACTGTAAAAGCATAAACTCCCATGTGTTCAAGCATCCCATTACTGGTATATTACTGTCAGAGGAGCACTAAGTAACCAGAACAGCCATCAAATCGACTCTGATTCATAGTGACCCCACTGGGTTTCTGAGGCTGTAAATCTTAAAAGAAGTTGATTGCCTCATCTTCCTCCCACTGAGTGGATGATAGTTTTGAACCTTCTGATTAGCAGCCAAATGCCTTACTCACTGCACTTACCACTGGATTAGTTAATGTCTCTGTGCTATTGTTTAGTTTGCCCTTTAACCCTTGAAAGCTTATGCCTCATGACATGAAAAGGAGACTGGTCTTAAATAGTTATTGTTGTTGTTGTTGTTAAGTGCCATCGAGTCATCTGCGACTCATAGCGACCCTATGCATAGCAGAAAAAAATACCGCCCGGTCCTGAGCCAGCTGCACGATTCTTGCTACACTTGAGCCCATCGCCACCACCACTATGTCAATCCACCTCGTTGAGGGGCTTCCCCTCTTTCATCAACCCTCCACCATACTAAGCATGATATCCTTCTCCAGGAACTGGTCCCTTCTGACAACATGACCAAAGTATGTGAGACAAAGTCTGGCCATTCTCGCCTTCAAGAAGCATTCTGGCTGCACTTGCTCCAGGACAGATCTGTAGTTCTTTCAGCAGTCCACGGTACTTTCAACGTTCTTCACCAACACCACAGCTCAAACACATCAACTGTTCTTTTGTCTTCCTTATTCATTGCCCAGCTCTCACATGCATATGAGGTGATCGAAAATACCATAGCTTGTGTCAGGCATACCTTAGTCTTCAAGGAGACATCTTTGCTCTTCAGTACTTGAAAGAGGTCCTTTGCAGCCAATTTGCCCAGTGCTATACATCGTGTGATGTCCTGACTGCTGCTTCCATTGGTGTTGATTGTAGAGCCGAGCAATATGAAGTCTTTGACAACCTCAAACTTTTCTCTATTTATTGTGATGCTGCTTAAAGGTCCAGTTGTGAAAATTTTTGTTTTCTTTATATTGAGGTGTAATCCATACTGCAGACTATATTCTTCAATCTTCATCAGAAAGTATTTCAAGTCATCCTCACTTTCAGCAAGCAAAATTGTGTCATTAGCATATCATAGTTTGTTAATGATTCTTCCTCCAATCCTGATGCCATGTTCTTCTTCATATAGTCCAGCTTCTAGGATTATTTGCATACAGATTGAATAAGTATGGTGAAAGGATACAACCCTGATGCATTCCCTTCTTGATTTTAAACCATGACAGACTCCTGGTCTATGTACAGGTTCCTCATGAGTACAATTAAGTGTTCTGGAATTCCCATTCTTCTCAATGTTATCTACAATTTGTTATGATCCACACAATCAAATGCTTTCGCATAGTCAATAAAACACAAGTAAACATTTTTCTGGTATTCTTTACTTTGAGCCAAGATCCATCTGACATCAGCAATGATATCCCTCATTCCATGTCCTCTTCTGAATCCAGCCTGCACCTCTGGAAGTTCTCTGTCAATACACTGCTACAACCATTTCTGAATTATCTTCAGTAAGATTTTACTTGCATGAGATATTAGTGATATTGTTTGATAACTTCTACATTCTGTGTGATCACCTTTCTTTGGAATGAGTACAAATAGGATCTCTTCCAGTCAGTTGGCCAGGTAGCTGTCTTCCAAATCTCTTGGTATAACCAAGTGAGTGCCTCCAGTGAGGCATCCATATGTTGAAACACCTCAATGGGTATTCCATCAATTCCTGGAGCCTTGTCAATTCCCTCAGCACAGCTTAGACCTCTTCCCTCAATACCATTGGTTCTTGAACATATGCTACCTCCTGAAATAGATGAACAACGACCAGTTCTTTTTGGTACAGTGACTCTGTGTATTCCTTCCATCTTCTTTTGATGTTTCCTGCATCATTTAATATTTTACCCATAGAATCTTTCAATATTGCAACTCAAAGCTTAAATTTTTTCTTCAGTTCTCTCAGCTTGAGAAATGCTGAGCGTGTTCTTCTCTTTTGGTTTTCTAACTCCAGGTCTTTGCACATTTCATTATAGTAATTGGCTTTGTCTGCTCAAGCTGCTCTTTGAAATCCTCTGTTCAGCTCTTTTATCTTGTCATTTCTTCCATTTGCTTTAGCTACTCTTTGCTCAAGGTCAAGTTTCAGAGTCTCTTATGACATCCATTTTGGTCTTTTCTTTCTTTCTTGTATTTTTAAAGACCTCTTGCTTTCTTCAAGGATGATGCTCTTGATGTCATCTCACAATTCTTCTGGTTTTCAGTTAATGGTGTTCAATGTATCAAATCTATTCTTTAGATGGTCTCTAAATTCAGGAGGGATATATTCAAGATCGTATTTTGGCTCTCGTGGACTTATTTTAATTGTCTTCAACTTCAAGTTGAATTTGCATATGAGCAGTTGATGGTCTATTTCACAATCAGCTCCTGGCCTGGTTTTGGCTGAAGATATTGAGCTTTTCCATCACCTTAAATAGTAGCAGAGAGAAATTGATTGTATTGCTTTAACACCATATTTCATGTTTTAAATCATCTCCTAACTAGGGTGTAAGCAGGATTTAGAGCAGTGAGTACCTCACACTTCTTCAAACCAGATGCTTACTGTGAATCAGCACTGAGAAGATCTTTGAAAGACAAAGCTAAAAGGGGGGATGAGGATGCAGTGAGAAATGGACCAAAAAAGCAGTAGTACTGCCAAATTAATTTAGATGGAAGAATCTTTGCTAAGGAGCTCTGGTAGCACAGTGCCCAAGGCACTTGACTGCTAACCAGAAGGCTGGCAGTTCAAACCCATTTGCCACTCCTTGGAAGGAAGGTTGGGCAATCTACTTCTGCAGCGATACTGCCTCAGAAACCCAAGGAGGGGTCACTGTGAGTTGGGTCTGACTCAATGGCACATAACAACGGCAACAACAATCTTTGCTAGCTTATAAATATGCCAGAAAAACAAAAGACTTACTCATATCCTTCTCTGATTCGTTTGGATTCACGATAGTAATCATTCACCTGAGTGTTATTAACTTTCCAGCATCGTAAATTTGTGTTCTCTCTTAAGTCTGTGATATTGCAGTCCACAATAAGGGTGGAGCCTGTAAAAATTAAATCCATAAGTATTAAACAAAAATTCTGCAAATAATGACCTGGTCAACAAATACATGCCTTGCTTTTGAGCCTTGAACACCTTTTGATTTACCAGAAATACCCACTTGGGTCAATAATAATCTACTTTATTACTCTTTGACAGAGATCATAATGGACAAGTGGCCTTCTAGAACGTCTGCTTTAATGAGAAATGCATATGCTGCCAAATGTTTTCCACAAAATCCAGGACATGTATAGCACTCCTACTCTTAGTAACATAGTGAAGAACTTCACAGTTCACTGTACATTTTACACACATTACGTTGTTTAATCTTCCTATTTTCACAATAGTCCTACAAGGCAGAAAGGAGAAGGCATTATCATCTCCATTTCACAGATGAAAAGACTGGAGCTCACATGGATTGAGTGATTTGCCTAATGTCACCGAATAGTTTGAGAAAGAAATGAGACATGAACTCTCACTTTCAAATTCAAATTTCAATGATCTTTCTACTTTCCAACGGTGATCTCCTGGTCTCACCCCTCTATTTCTTATCCTGCCACTACACACATTCACACATTGTTTAATTAATTTTATGTTCAGTTTATTTTGCCTCATGGGACTAATAAATTCTACCTATTTACTATATGTAAAAAAAAAAAAAAGAAAATCACTGTACTTCTAAACAGTCTACTCCAAATTTCAATGAATGTCTACTATTCTAGGCTGTATTTTAAATTTATTGTGAAATATAATGCATATATAGTAAAAACTATAGAATATAAATGTAAATTTGATTAATTATTATATGTTAAATATCCATAGTATCATATTATGAATTCAATTTGCATTTCCCTGGATTGCACTTAGTTTAGCACCTTTTCATATTTTTATTGTCAATTTGGACATATCCTCCTTTATAGTGGATAACTATAACTAGTCAAGTTATTTGTCTTTCTACATTTTATCTTCTCCTTATTGATTTGTAGTTCTATCATAGATTCTAGATATGTGGATGTGACTTGTGTCCATTTTTTGCAAAATACATTCTCCCATTCTGTGAACTGTCTTTTATTTTAATGTTGTACCTTTTTCTTTTTAATATAGTCCTCCATGTCAATGTTTTCTTTCATGATTAGTGCTTTGTGTGTCCTCTTTAGACAAGTCTTTTCTTACTCCCAAATTATGAAAATATTTTTCTAGAAAATTTGTTGTTTAGCCATTCATATTTAGGTTTGCAATACACTTGAAATCATCTTTTTAAATGATGTGAGAAATGAGTCAAGTTTGATTTTACTCTATATTACATTCAACCATCCAAGATCATTTATTATAAACATGACACTTCTTATTTTTCTCTGTTGTGTCCACTTTGTCATGATAGAGTGCCTTATGTGTCTGAGTCTATCTCTGGGCCTTTACTTCTGTTCCATTATCTATTCTTGTGCCGGTGCTAGACTGTCTTAATTACTGTAGCTTTCCCATAAATCTTGAAATCTGGACGCACAAGCCCTCTTATTACTTCTTCATTAAAAGTGCCTGGACTAGCAGCTGATGCAGCTCAGCAGACAGGCAGAAGATGTTTGGAGTTAAAGGTGGTCATATTATCGAGAACAAGAAGATGGCATCACACCTATAACCCACATGTTTGTTCCCTCTACCAACTTAATCCATGAGTAACTAGGTAAGCAGATAGAAATAATGATACTGGAGTTTGACCAACTAAGGAGAAGATAAAGTACCAGAGTTAGTGAAGACAGAGAAAAAGAGCAGATTAAACAATGGGAAAAATAAATGAACCTACCTAGCTGGCAGAGATAGAGAAATGGTGAAGGAGAAGACTCATCAGAAATACAAAATAGGCTAGCAGAAGGAAGGAGGAAAAAAAAAATTCACAGAACCCACAGAGGCACTGGGGACTCAGAATTCCTACACTGGGAGTTTTTGGTGGTGACCTTGGGAGCTGAGTGTGTAGATAATCTTACTGGGAAACAGATCAAGACGCCCCTTGGCTTGGGCTGCCACAGAACCCAGAAGGGAGGTGGGGGGAAAGGGAGAAACTTCCTCAAAGTAGGCAGAGCCCTGAAGTGAGCACACAGCAGTGGGATGGGGTTCAACCCTTCCACAATGCCTTTTCAGCACAGAGCAGAGAGGGGTGCTGGGATTTTGCGGATTCTTGATCCAACAGGAAAGTAGTGGCTCTCTACCCATTGAGATCTCTTGTTGATTTTGACCATGGGTCTTTGTTTGACAGTAGGGCATCATCATTAGTAGCTGGAAGCACTGACTGGCCTGTCTTGCCAAAACATGGAAAACAGGGACTTGCTACTGGTGCCCTTTTTTTCTTTTTCTTTTTTCTTTTCTCCCCTACCTCATCCAATAGAAAAAAATACATTAAACTGGTCACCAGGCAACAGAGATATTACAATGAACACCTCATCCAGTAGGTAACACCAAAACCTCCTGTGACAAAAAATCAATGACAGACATAGGATAACATCTGCTTATCCCAAATCTATATCCCCTTCATGATGAACAGAGGCCTGCATCCACATCCCCACCAGTGATTCCTCCAACACAGAGAGAACTGGAGAGTAACCCAGTGCAGTAGAGTTTATAACCAAAAAAGTACACCTGCTCCAAATGTTCAGATATAGTAATACATAAAATAAGTGTGAAACAAATCAATACGTAACTAACAATTAAAGACAACTTCAAAATGTCAAGGAAACAACAGCAACCTCAAATCAAACAAAAACAACAGGACAAGACAATAGATACAAAAGCTTACGCTAAAGAACTATCTATCATGGAAGAAGAACAACGAATAGAACTATCTGAGAATAAATTTAGAAGGTATATTTATAGGACCCTCCAAGAGCTCAAGGAAACCATAAACAAAATCTATGAGAAGACAGACAGAACCCTGAAAGAATTCAGGAAAACCATTCGAGAACAAAATAATAAGATAAATACACAATTAGAACTCATACAAGAACAGCAATTAGAAATCCAGAAGAAGAACACTAAAATTATAGAGACAGACAACACAATGGAAGGACAAAAGAGTAGACTAGAACTAGCTGAAGAACACATTTCCCAAATAGAAGACAAACCCCTTGGTGCCAGCCTGTAAGAAGGAAAATTAGAACAAAGATTTAAGAGAAATGAAGAGAATCGAAGACTTATATGGGATGACATAAAAAGAAACAATATACACCTTGTTCAAATACCTGAACAAGAGGAGACCGAAAAAAAAAACAAAAACTGAGAAGATTGTGGAAGACTTGCTAACAGAAAATTTCCCCCCATATTATGAAGGAAGAACCGATATCTGTCCAAGAAGCTCAACAAACCCCATACGCGATAAATCCTGACAGAAAGTCACAAAGACATATCCTAATCAAACTCTCCAAAACTAAAGATAAAGAAAGAATTTGGGGAGCAGCTTAGGAAAAATGAAATGTCGCTTACAGTGGACAACTAATAAGACTAAATTCTGATTTCTCAGTAGAAGCTATGCAGGCAAGAAGTCAATGGGATTGTATATATAAAACAACGAAGGAAAAGAACTTCCAGCCAAGAATTATATATCCAACCAAACTGTCCCTCACATATGAGGGTTGAATCAAGACATTCTCAGACAAATAGAAACTAAGGGAAGTTGTGAAAAACAGACCAACGCTACAAGAAATGCTAAAGGGAGTCCTTCCAATAGAGAATCCAGAACAGAGAGCAACAACTTAAAATCAGAACACTTGACATCACTACATAGATACCAAACTAGAAATAAATGCTCAAAATAAGTTCATAAAGTAATGTACACAGAGAAATAGGGGAATCAATCTGCAGACACCAGCAACAAAGCAAATAGAGGGAATAAAGTTCCAATTACAAAACTTCCAAATGGAGGGGAAGACAAGACAATGTCCTTACAGAACTGACTGTTCCAAACTTAAAGAGATAAGAATTTACTTCAGGGTAATCACAAATGAGTTGGGTTTGACTCAATGGCACACAACAACAACAAACAACAACAATCACAAAGAAAGCTAACAATTTTCCTAAGCAAACTCAGAAAAAAGAAAAATACATGGGCTTAATAAACACAAAACCAACAATAAAGAAGAAAAGAGAAGAAACACTTAATAACAAAATGAGTTCAGCACAGAAAAATAGTTGGAACAAGGAATTCACCAACAACACAATAAAAAATACAATAAAATGACAGCAACAAATTCGTATCTATCACTAATTACACTCAAAGTGGATGGACTAAATGCACCATTCAAGAGAAAGAGAGTCGCTGACGGAATGAAAAAAGAAGACCCATCAATATGCTGCCTCCAAGAGATCCACCTTAGACACATGATTAAAAATTAAGAGGTGGAAAACAATGTACCAAACTAATGGCAAACAAAAAGGAGCAGGAGTGGCAATATTAATTTCTGATAAAATATACTTCAAGGCGAGAAACAGCATATGGGACAAAGAAGGACATTATATGATGCTAAAAGGAGCAAATGACCAAGAAGACATCACCATAATTAGTATCTATGCACTCAATAAAAGTGCTCCAAACTACGTAAAGCAAATACTAACTGAATTGAAAGGAAAAATAGACAACTCTACGATAGTAGTAGGAGACTTTAACAAATCACTTTCAAGGAGAGATAGAACAACTAGAAAAAACCTCAACAAATATACAGAAGAACTCAATAACACAATCAATTTGACCTCATAGACATACAGAGCACTCCACCCAACAAAATCATAATGCACATTCTTCTACAGTGCATGTGGATCATTCTCCAGAATAGACCAAATGTTAGGACACAAAACAAGTCTCAATAAATTCAAAAACACTGAAATACTACAAAGCATCTTCTTGGATCACAATGCTATAAATTAGAAATCAATAATAGGAAGATCAAGGAAAAAATATTAAGTATGTTAAAACCAAATAATACACTGCTCAAAAACTACTAGATAATAGAAGAAATGAAG